GCAATTCCTTCCCCAGAGAGCAATGGGGTCATAATGACTGAGTTAGAGTTTTTTTCAGTCAAGAATCTAAGTCTTGATGGGAAATAGGGGCTACAATCCAATCAGCCACGACCTCCTACAAGGGAGCAGGCTCAAGGTGTGAATGGCCCACCTCTCCTAATTTATATGTTTTTAAATAATTGAATTTCCACTGCTGATTGTTGTGGCACCCCACTAATTAGAATTTGCCAATCTGTTTTTTCTTTTAGTCAGGATAAATGGTTCATTTTCAAAGAACAGTGGATGCTAGAAAACAGAAACAAAAATAGAAATTGCTGGAAAATCTCAGCAGGTCTGGCAGCATCTGTGGAGAGAAAGCAGAGCTAACATTTTGGGTCCAGTGATCCTCCTTCAGAATGCATTTATCCTGACTGTGTTTCCTGTAGCCAATCTTCAATCCATGCAAATAATCACTGAACTCTTATTGCCTTGAGCTCTTAGAAAATTCAGTTTTGAAATCCAAGTACATGACATCACTTGGCAACCCTTTATCCACCCTCCATGTTTACTGTGCTAAGTGGAGACAGATCTCGCGACTCAAAGGGACATTCTTGAGATACTATGAACTATTAATAGCAGCAGAATTCTATTCAACTACCATCTACAATCCCATGACCAGGCATATGCTTCATCCTACCATGACCATCAAGGTAGGGGCTGAAGCTCATGTCAGTTATGTGCACAGGAAGGTGTGCGAGCAGCAACACCATGTGAAGCTACATCATTAGGATACTTGGGTGCTAAAGAGTGGAAGCAGTATCCAATAGACAGGGCTAAGCAATCCCATAAACAAATAGATCCCTCCAGTATGTTGTGTGGTATTACCACTGTGCTAAATGGGACAAAGTCAGAAGTCAAACTACACCAGGTTATAGTCCAGCAGAAATCACAAGCTTCTGAGCACTGCTCCGTCATCAGTTGACAAAGGAACAATGCTCCAAAAGCTTGATTTTTTTTCAAATAAACCTGTTGGACTATAACCTGGAATTGTGATTTCTGAATTTGTCCACCTCAGTCCATTACCAGCAACTCCACATCATGGCTAAATGGGACAGACTTTGAACAGATCTAGCAACTCAAGACTGCCCCTGCATGAGGCACTGTGGGCCATCAACAGCAGCAGAATTGTACTCCAGCGTAATCGGCAACCTCATGGACTGGCATATCCCTCACTTCACCATTACCATCAAGACAGGGCATCAGCCATGGCTAATGGTGAGTGTGGGAGGGCATGCCAGGAGCAGCTCCAGGCACATCTTAAAATGAGGTGTCCACCTGGTGAAGCTACCAACCAGGACTACTTGCATGCCAAACAGCATAAGCAGCCATTGATAGACAGAGCTAAGCAATCTCAAAGCCAAAGAATCATATCCAAGCTCTGCAATCCTGCCACATCCAGTCATGAAAGTTGGTGGACAATTAAACAACTCACTGGAGGAGGAGGAGCCACAAATATTCCGTCTTCAATGATGGAAGGGCCCAACACACCAGTGCAAAACAAGAGGCTGAAGTATTAGCAGCAGTCATCAGCCATAATGATCCATCTCGGCCTCCTCCAATGATCTCCAGCATTACAGATACCAGTCTTCGGCCGATTCTATTTACTGCAAGTGATATCAAGAAATGGGTGGAGACATTGGATACTGCAAAAGGCTATGGGCCCTGACAACGTTCTGGCAATAGTACTGAAGACTTGTGTTCTAGAACTTGCCGCTCCCCTAGCCAAGCTGTTCCAGTACATATACAACACTGGCATTTACCCAACAATGTAGCAGATTGCCCAGGTATGCAATCTTGGACAAATCCAATCCGGCCACTTACCGCCCCATCAGTCTACTCTCGATTGTCCGTAAAACCATGGAAGGTTCCATCAACAATGCTATTAAGCAGCACCTGCTCACCAACATCCTGCTCGGTGATGCTCAGTTTGGGTTCTGCCAAGGTCACTCGGCTCCTGACCTCGTTACAGCCTTGGTTCAAATATGGACAGAAGAGCTGAATATCACAAGTGAGGTGAGAGTGACAGCCCTTGGCATCGAGAAGCCCTAGCAAAACTGAAATCCGTAGGTATCAGGGAGCAAACTCTCTGGGGTTATACCTGGCACACAGGAACATGGTTGTTGGAGGTCAGTCATCTGAGCTCCAGGACATCGCTGCAGAAGTTCAAGGTGGTGTCCTAAGCCAAACTATCTTCAGCTGCTTCATCAATAACCTCCCTTCCCTCATAAGGTCATAAGTGATTGTGCAATGTTCAGCACCATCTGCACTTCCTCAGATACTGAAGGAATCCTTGTTCAAATGTAGCAATATCTGGACAATATCCAGGCTTAGAGTGGCGAGTAACATTCCACACTAGTGCCAGGCAATAACCGTCTCCAGTAAGAGGCAATCTAACCACACCGTCTCGAAATTCATCACTGAATCCCCCACTATCAGTGTCCTTGGGGTTATCATTAACCAGAAACTCAGTTGGACTCACCACGTAAACACAGTGGCTGCAAGCGCTGGTTAGAGGATATGAATACTGTGGCAAGTAAGTCAAAGCCTGTCCATGATCTATAGGGCACAAGCCAAGCGTGTGATGGAATGCCACTTGCCTGGATGGGTGCAGCTTTAACAACATGTAAAAAGCTTGATAACATCAAGGATAATGCAGCCTGCTTGATTGGCATCACATTCACAAGCAACCCTTCCCTTCATCACAAATGCTCAGTAGCAGCGGTATATACTATATACAAGATGCACTGAAGAAATTCATAAAAGATTCAAACCCACAATCATTTCCATCTACAAGGACAAGAGCAACAGATGCATGGGAACTGCACTACCTGCAAGTTCTCTCTCAAGCCACTTGCCATACTGACTTGGAAATATATCACCATTCCTTTCATTGCTGCATCAAAATCCTGGAATTCCCTCCGAAAGGGCATTGTGAGTTAACACCACAGCCTGAAGATGACTGTGGTTCGAGACGGCAGCTCACCACCACCTTCTTGAGGATAACTAGGGGTGGGAAATAAATGTTGACGAGCCAGCAATGTCCATGTCTCCCCTTGAATTGGAGTAGGGTCCACAAATATCCCCACACTTGATGGGGAAACCCAGCACATTCATGCAAAACCTAAGCCTATTGTATTTGCAATAATTCTTCAGCCAGACATACGTAATGTATGTTCCATCTCTGCCTCCTTCACAGGTCATTAGCCTTGTAAATGCCAGTCCGTAGCCACTTCAAGTCATTCCATGTGATCAGTAAAATGCTGAAGGCCTTGGATACTGCAGAGGCTATGGGCCCTGAGGATATTCCGGCCACAGTAGTGAAGATTTGTGCTCCAGACTTAACTGCACCACTAACCAAGATATTCCAGTACAGCTACAGCACTAGCATCTACATGAAAAACTGTCCAATTGTGTGCTGCCTGCAAAAAGCAGGATAAATCCAACCTTGTCAATTATTGTCTCATGCGTCCAGTTTTGATTTTTGGCAAAATGACTGACAGAAGGAATTATTGATAGCGATGGTCAGGTAGCATTTGTTGAGCATTAACCTGCTCACTTGCACTCAGTTTGGGTTTTGCTGTGGCTCACTTGTCTGACTTCATTACATCCTGTGGCTGGGCTAGAATCCTGAAACACTGTCCCTAACAGCTCTATGGATGGCCTTGCACTTCCAAAGACTTCTGTTCATCACTTGCTCCAACTAGTTCAATTAGAGATGGGCAATAAACAATGGCTTAGCCAGTGACACCCATTACAAACAAGAACCTGTTCAGACCTAAGAACCACATGTGTTCCAGCAGGAGTCACTATGCTGTCACTTGAGTTCACTGACTAGCTGTGGCTTAGCTACAATGAGAGTTTGACCCACATGCAGTGGTACATTTCCACTAAATAGATGGCTAAAACAATATGAACAGTAGCTACACTTGCAGTCAGTCAGCAATTTTAATTGCACAATGTTTGAGGGGAATAAGTCTTATTAAAGCAGCAAAACCAAGAACAGTTTACAAAGCACTGAACAACTTTGGAAGTAACATTTTGTTTTCATATTGGCTGAGTACATCAGGCAATGATTTACTTATCAAGCCATTTGAGCTGTTGTACCTGAACTTTGTAAGTAACTTTTTAAAGAAACATGACTTACTGCTAGATCTAGATAAGTGTTCATTTGTAATGCCAGATCCACCCAACATGCAACAACTGTTAAGCTCATCACATTGCAGTCAGACTGGAGGTGGTGGTATAGTGCTATTGTCACTGGACTAACTATCCAGGGAGCTCAGGTCAATGTTTTGGGGCATGGGTTCCAGTCCCACCATAGCAGCTGGTGAACTTAGATTCTGTTATTAAATCTGGAATTGAAAGCTCATCTCACCAATACTATGAACTTGTCATTGATCGTTGTAAATTGATGCTCTGGTTCACTAATGCCCCTTAGGGAATAAAATCTGTCATTGTTATCTGATCTGGCCTACATATGACTCCAAACTCAGCAATATGCTTAACTCTTAATTATCCTCTGAAATGGCCTGGCAAGTCACTCAGTTCAGGAGCAATTGGGAATGGGCCACAAATTTTATCTGGACTTGCTAGTGGCACCCATATTCCATGAAAGAATCAAGGGAAATGCACTTACCACCCTCCAGCACAGAAAGAGACCATTCAGCCTATTGAATCTATACTGACTCTCCAAAGAGCATCCTGCACAGAGCCAGGCCCCCTTCCCCACTCTATCACCATAATCCCACATTTATCATGGCTAACCCACATAGACTGTACATTAATATAGCATGGCCTATCCACCCAACTTGCACACCTTTGGACTTTGAAGGGGAAACGGGAGCCCCTGGAAGAAACGCAGACACGGGGAGAATGTTTGTGTGGAGTTTGCACAGTCACGCAAGGCTAGAAACAAACCACTGAGCTTTAACAACTTTAGTCTGTTTTGTTTGTTGCATTAGGTCATGGCCACAGTCACTCACTCTTCAATGGAGGAATTCCTGGACTAAATCATGGACATAGTCATGGAGAGCATGGACACAGTCATGGACACAAATCTGTACATAGCCATAGCCATAGCCATAGCCATGGACATTCCCATTCTCAGGAGCACAGTTACGGTGAGTTATGCAGTGCAAGTTCAATAATAATGCATGGATGCTTTATTGTCAATAAATTATTTGATTTCTGTCCTTGATTTATCTTCAGTTATATGACCTAATTATCTCATCTATACTATTGTGTAATGTTTTCAAGGACATGTCTTAAAATGAGTTTATTTTGTTCAGTGTCAAGTATCATGTAATTGATGCTAATGAAGTACAGTTGAAGCAACAAATGGTTTTGTGTTTGTTGTTGTGCATTGTGATTGATTTCTGAAATGTTGACTAGGGATTCTCTGTGAGCAAATAGTTCTAATCCTATTTACCTGGCTTACTCCCATGCTTCTGAGACTCCTTTTCATTTGTATTCTTGCCTAAATCCTTCCACTAATTTGAAGCCCAATGTTGTAAACTCTGACTTTATGTAGGCTCATCATTACTCCTTGGCTTTGGTCTTCCTGTACAGACACAACCTAGGATAAACATTTCTTTTAATAGTCTTATCAAACTGAAACGCTTCTCTTTAATATTTTGTGAAGTGTGCATCCAGTTTTCTCTGCTGGAGGCCCACAGAATTAGTATCTAAATCAATGCATGATCTGGGTTTAGTAACCTTATGCAATATGAAGACATCTTGCAAAGTGACTTGGTATATTTGTCTCTGAACTTGAATGTAGTTTTAAATTCCCAGTAGATAGATACAAGATGGGATGCTGAGTTATACAGATCTTGCTGCTTTCTGGGTTGCTCACAGGTGTTTGAACTGATTTTGTTCAGCACAGCTAGTTCCAGTTGTTGTGCATCTACCTACAACCTGGGAGTGGACAAATTGGCTCAGATTCTTGTTCTTGATCATTGTCTTGAGTATGCGAAATGTAAATGTTTGGGAAGAATCTATTTTGGATGGTCTTCTGATATTAACTGCCTAACTATGCATAACAAATGGCTTTATAGGTGAAGTTTCAGAAGATTGGTGATCCACACACAATCCTATATCAGTACAACCCAATGTCTTAAAAATCAGAAGGGGCAAAATTGTTTCTTAACAATTATCATAGAATGGTTGCAAAGGGGAGGCCGCTAAACCCGTCATGTCTGTGCTGGGTCTCAGTGCAATTCACCTTGTGTCAATTCCTTGCCTTATCCCCTGTAACGTTTGCAATTTTTTCCTTTTTTGTTTAAAGATTACAATCCAATTCCCTTTAGAAAGTTTCGATTGACTTGGCCTCTGCCACACACACAGACGGTGCATTCCAAATCCTACCCACTCTGTTTGGGAAAGTCTTTTTTTGTGACAGCTAAGTATATAGTTTACAGCTGGTGATTTGCAACACATTTCCACTATTTTGTAATTTTATCAATGTTCATTTTTGGTTATGTCAATGGAAAGGCATCCAGTTCTTGTATGCTTAGCCCCAGAAAATGATGAGGGTAAAAACATCTCTCCATTTATGTGCATTTGTGAACCACTTGCATAAAATAATCCCGTTCTTAATCTTCCTGTTGCCGGGATGGTGTTTACACTTTGGAAGTTGATAGTTTAAAGTACACCGCTGGTACTAACAGCCAAGAGCAAATTTAGCTCCATTTCCTCTCATTTTACAATTTTAACTGAAAACTTTCTTTCCCTTTTCACTATTCTAAGTGTGGTTTACTCCAGCTGTGTGATCAGTAATATGCACTTGCTGATAGTCATGGTCACCAGTGCACAGGAAGAGGCCAGTTGACTCTTTGATTCCATTTATTGATTTTTTTTTAAGCTATGAGTGATATATTTATTATTATTATTTTTGATATATCATTGCTATAAGCCAAGAAAATAGACATCAAGATTTATATGCCTCAAAATCTGCTGTTTGGCATATGCCGAAACTCTTAAGTTATAGAACTATCTTGTAACTCACTATCTTCTATCAATGCATGAGTTGTACTTTAATAATTGTAGATAACTATATTTTTCTGTGCAGAAAGTTACCAGTGTGATACACTAGAAGCAAAAGGATCCAATAAACAGATTTTAGAAGGTTTGTGAATTGATCATTTTGTCATAAAATTGTCACTAACTCAAGCTGACTTTATTATTCTTTATTACAAAACTGATGAGCAGTCAAGGACTATTGTGAACTTGCTTTTCTATCTCAAAATGTAGGAGGCCTTCCATAATATTTTGAAATCAAAAATGGTATTGCACAGGAGCATAAATAATTTCATCTCATTTTTCTCATTTTATAGGAGTTTTTCTGCATATTGTTGCAGACACACTTGGCAGTATAGGTGTAATAATATCTGCCCTTCTGATGCAGAACTATGGCCTTATGATAGCAGATCCTATCTGCTCTATGTTGATTTCCTCCCTTATAGGAGTAAGGTGAGTAACTTGAGGTTGCTATTCTTCTAGATTGTTGGATATTTTTGAGAGTTGTTGCAGGACAGTGTGAAATCAAATTGTGACTAATGCAATTAAATAGGACAAGAGCCTTAAGCTGACAAGCTGACTAAATATACTTGAAGTATATGGGGGTAGGGACATGGAGTGCTCTCTGGACACAATTCAGCTGAAACATTTGTCATTCCTTTATTATCGTTGCAATGAGATTCATGCACAAAGCTCTTCTTTCCTATCACCATAGCAAGTTTTCTAGCATTGAATAAAAGATACTGACTCTTATTGCCCTACACTTTTATGCTGTCCAAGATGCTGGAATCTTCCCATGTGAATCAGTTGGATTGCCCTCCATACTTCCCTTCTTAACTTCTCCTGCCCTCTGTTCCCATCCACATGTTTGATCTTTGACCTTCAACTTTCATTGCATTTTTGTTTAACTTGTATTAAAAGTTGCACAAAACCTTATGAAAAGTTCATTGTTGGCAGCAGTCAAAGTCAGTAAACAGTTGTAAGGGCAGCGACAGTAGTAGGAAGGAATATTGATTTTGCTTGTTCCAGCTATTTTGTTTAATCATTGATTTTTCTATTATTTGCTTCATTTTTAATAACCATTTGTTGAATGGTGTTTGTCAGTATCTAAAATTTCTGTGCTGAAAAAGATATTAAACATAATATATTTCACAATGAATTTTAACTTGTGTGTGCTTTCCTTGATTTCCAGAAATGTTTAATTACGATTTCCTCTACATCAGTTTCTTGATTTCCAATTGGTTTGTGTCCCTTGCTTGTTTTGTTGTGAAACATTGAGCCTTCCTCACAACCACCCGACCTATAGGCCTCCCAGCAAATTTCATGCCATCGACATTCTCTCCATAAACCAAGAAATAGCTTTCCTGCGGATGTGCTAGCCACTAACACAGTCCTATGTTAATTTACTTAAAGTAATTTGGAGCTTTTATTCCATTTGTCAACTTTCTGCAAACACAGAAAAATCTTTAAAGCTCCTTTTCAGTTCATGGGGAAGGATAACACTGAGACCATATTAAGGATCTGAAGGAGGCCAAATGAAGGTGGGATAAAATTCTGTTTCTCTAACCCTGTTCAAGCCATTCTTCTGCTTCTCTATCCAGCAGCTTCCGTTACCCACAGCCATTGAGGCAAATCATTACTTTTGGTATTGTGATTCCTGCCCCAATGCTTCCAGATCTAGAGGTTTCCCATAGCTGTGTTAAGTACATAAACTTACCCTTGTAAACTGCCTGCTTTTACTGTCAGGCCTCAAACTTCGAAGTATTCCCAAATGTTAGCAACCTTTTTTCTCCTATAGTTCTTTATATTCCACCCACATTTTAAACAGTATTCCCAATGTCTGAATCATTTCTCTCAAGACCGTGAGGGCTGCCTTCCTCATTGATCCAGGATTTACAGTTCTCCTTGCCATAACTCTTCCAGTTTCTGACATACTCCTCACCTCTGGACACTTTTTTCCCTGAAACTGTTTATATATTGTATCCAATCTTAGTTCCTTGATTCATTTTTATCATGACCGTATAAAGTATAAACACATTCAAATTCTATTATTTACCACAAACTGCAATTCTCTGTTCTTGCATTTAAGTTATACGAAAAGAACTGCAGGAAAGCAATGTTGTAATGGCAAAAATGGCTATTACCACTAGGAGGTGCTCAAGTTAAGGCTTGTGTCAAAATAAAAGCAAAGCTTTTAAAACACACAGCAGATCCGTTCCATCTGTATAGAGAAGGGACAATAATATTTTGATTTTAGAATTCTGGAGACATTTTACTGCTTAGACTGAAATGCTTAGATTTGACGTCTATTCTAAAGTATTGACATAGTCAATCTTTTGCTGGTCTGTTGCTAGCACTTGTTCTGCTCTGGGAGCAGCCTGATTTGTACTGTTTGAGTCCATTTGACCCTTGCTGTTCCTGAGTTTCACCCATACCAATTCTACTTAATAGCATTCTGAGACCAAATCTTTTTTTCTCCCATGTTATTATGCCATCCTTTTACTATCAAGCTGCTACTCTTGCTTTCTATTCTGTCTAATGTTTCTGAAATATCATGTACCTTGGAATATTTATTTCCCAACCTTGATCACCTTGTAGCCATGTCTGTGCATTGGTGATTAAATTTTAAACCATTTAAATTTAAACCTCTTTGTGACACTTCAGCTCAGCTGGAAATTTTTAAGGTTGTCTTAATACATTTAGAAAGCATAATAAGATTAGAACAAGTTGGTATGATTGTACAAAAGGGAAATCTGCTTCACAAATTTTAGTTTTCTTTTGAGCATGTATCAAGAAGTGTAGATAAAGAACCACCAGTGGAAGTAGTATACCTGGTAAGATGCCAAAAATAAGGCAACATAGAGTTAGTTTAATACGTTAGCATGGATAGAAGAATGATTAACAGATAGGTGCCACATTTAGACTCCTACAAGTTGTCAGGGTGTGACCAGTGGACTAATTATTCTGGTCAGGAAATCTAAAACATGGACGCACAATTAGAGAATAGGGGCTGATCATTTCAGACATATGAGAAATTACTTCACTCAAAGGGTTGTGAACCTTCAGACTTCAATATCCCAGAGGGTTGTGGATGTTCTGTTAAATGCATTTAATCTTGATACAGACAGACCTCGTGATGTTACAGGAAATTAATCAATATGGAGAGCAGGCAGGAACATGGTGTTAAAGCCCATGATCATTCAGAATGGTGGATCAGGCTTACCAGGCTATATGGTCTACTATTCCTATCTCTTGCCTTCTAAAGTAGGTTGAACCTGTACTATGACTTCATGCAGATGATAGATGAAAGATGTTGTTCATTTTCCTTTCCTTGAATTAAGCATGTATCTAGGTTGATGCTGCACTGTTTCATCACTGTAATGCAGTATTTTCAGAAATTGTTTCAAGGAGATGTTAAACTGAAGCCCAAACTCTCTATGAAGGTAGCCACATAAGATCTCTGAATAATCTGAACAGCATGCAGCCATTGGTGGCCTGGCCAAGATTCACCCTTTTGACCAAGATTACCTAAAGTAGAACTAAAGTTAATTATTTAACTGTTGTGGGATCTTACTGTACAGAAATTGGTTGCCATACTATTATGAATGGGAAAAACTTCCAAATAAATTAATTGGTGTGAAATATTTTGCAAATTCTTCAGAAATTGAGAGGGGCCATTTTAAGTTGAACTTTACTGAAATATCAAAAACTTGTTCAAAAACCACCAGATTTCAGACAACCTTTTTGACTATTTATTTTCCAATAAAAATGAGGCTGTTGTTTTTAAATTTAACTTGTTGCATTCATTGTACTTGGCATCCCCATCGTGTGCCTGGAATTTAGTAATGTCACCCAGCATTCTTGTGTTGCATACGTATTCATTGTAAGAATTTTAAACAAGTCAGCTTCATTTAATGTGCAATGCTGAAGTCATTGTTGACCAGTTCGTCATACTCGTGTTGTACAAGTCAAAACCATTTTGGAAAAATTTGAAAGAGCCAGAATATTTTAATTGTGCTTCTAGATGATTTTCAATACAAATAAACATCAAAAATCCTCAATATTCAACTAATTAACTGAAACCCTGTAGACAACACTGGTACTCCTGTTGAAATTTAAAAATAAAAATTAGACTGAAACTGCCTCACTTAAATTTAAGGAATTCATGAATGCATGATTCACACTGCTACTGTTTCTTGGCAGAAACCGTATTCTTCCGAATTCTGTGCGCATCTAATGTGGTTTCTGCCTTGTTGTACAGGTGTCTTTTCTTTTTCTAGCATGTGCAACTCGCACAAAGTTAGGGTTGCCTTTATGTTGATTTGCTGAGTTGTTTAAAATCAGGGTAAAATTTAAAGTAATCAAATTTGCACCCCACCTCATGATCTGGAACTAATTAAGCAATTTGTCTGCTCTGTCTGCTCTGTCGCTCTGTCTGTCTGTCTGTCTGTCGCCCCCCTCCCGCACCGC